TCTAATTGTTCTAAGCTATTATTGATGATAACTTAACTTTATGACTCTAGTCTAAAACCATCAAGCTAACCAAACCAGAGCTATCAATTAAAAGCTTCATTATCAGTTTCTAAATATATCTCATATCTTAATCTTTAATATAACTACATTCCTATTACCAAACTTATCACAACACTAAAGTTAACAATATGAGAGGGAGGAACTTCACAGTTAAATAGCAGTTAATGAGAATCATTTTTTTGAATTATTGTATACTTCTTCTGAATCTGATCTTTGTACTGCTCTTGCAGCCTCAGAGCCAACTTATCTAATTGTCAATATCCTAGACTACTCAGTGATCATTGTACTATTTCAAGCTGTTGAGCCACATAACAATAAGTGGATAGATAGGCTAATAGAGCTAGCCTATATTAAGGTAAGCATAGCAAACAGAAGAACAACAAACATCTATCTGGCATACAGGTTTTAAATACCCTTAGCTAAGTTATACACTTCCACTCTTTCACTCTTCCACTTGATATTCATACACCATTACAACATACTAATAAAACAATTATTTATTTTTCTTTTTAAGGATTACATTTAAAACAATCATAATTTTCTCACAAACTATATTCAGCAAAATATATAATATTATTATAACTATATCTATAAAGCTACGATTATATATGATTTACAATAAAGTCTTCTGATCTCACAGTTTTATCACTTCATTGACAAGCTTATCAATTTAGAAATGATTGTTAAATTACTTATATCGATATATAAACAGCTATCATTTTAATATATAAAAGGTTATCGTATATATCTAGTATGTTGATAACATGTGCAAGCTAGTTTTTTACTAATTGTTATGCAAGCAAAATCTAAGACATTTAGAAGATCTTGTATTGATTCAGCCCAAATTTCATTTTGCCTTAGATAATTTTATATAAAAAAAAGGTTTGCTCAATTTATAAAAAAAATAAATTAGATATTAATTAAAATCAATTAAATTTATTATAAGTTGCTTACAGGATTAAAATCTGGTGAATAGGCTAGTAAAAATTCTAGCCTAATTACTTTTTTATTACAAATATCTTGCAAATACTGATTTTTATGTATGATTGCATTATCTAAAACTGGCACACTATATTGCTCATGAAATGCATTTATTTTTGATAACTATATTAAATATATGTAATATAATTAATCAATATATATATACTGATATTAAATATATACATAATTAAAATTTATAT